GATAACTAAAATACAGTCGATTCCTTATCGGTTTATATTAATAATAATTTACGTTGAATTCTTATGCAAAACGATTGATAGGCTTTATGTTTTATGAAAGCCAAAGTATACTAGAAAAAATAAATGAATGTTTGAAAAGTCAGAACTGTTGTTTATTGTTGTGGTGTTAACAATAGTGATGTCAGTTAGATTTGATAAGAACAGAGCTATGGAAGATTAAATCATCTTCTCAGCCTTTTTTACCCTCAGGTGTGCAAAAACTACAGGTTATGAACCTCTTTTTAAAATGCAATAATGTGAAATTATTGGTTATCTTATTGATCAGCCATGAGAAGCAGGTAATAATCCGTTATCATATTGGCTAAAAAAAACCAAACATATCCCTACGCAATTCTGCTTCAGTTCAATTCAACAGCACACAGCCTTTCACACATGGAACCCTCTACTGGTGTATATAACACTACTTTTTATTGTATATAATATGATTTATATTTACAACTTTTAAAGTGACCTTCACTCTTTTGAAATTATTATTACTATAGTAATTACATGTACACATTACAAGTAATTATGTACAGAAAAATACATATGAGACAGTAATGATATGACATTAGAGTTGGTTTACAAAAAAAGCCATGGGACAGACATCTTCCATTTTGTAATCTCAGAGTCAAATAGCAGTTCTGCTGAAAATCCACAGGAGGTCAGTATGATCACACACACAGCACTGAACCTGCCTTTCATCTCTCTGACCACTGGCTTCACTTCCTTCTGTCTATACTAGTTACATCCATCATTCACAACGAGTTGTGCTGTCCCATAACTTAACAATGCTACCTTCACTGTCTACAAGACATAAAATACACATTTACATGTTAACATCACAATTACATTGATTACAACACATCAGACAGCTCCATTCATGTTGCTGCTCAGGGCTTTTTATGGCTTTATATAGAACACCTCCCTCTATCAGTCAGGTTTCACTGTTGAAGTATTTAAAGTATGGAATACAGTTAGTTAACATATATACATAACTACATTCATTTTCTGTTAGCTTAGTCAGCCACATGATGCTCCATGCATTTGCCGTGTGTAGGCTCAGTGGTGGACTCAGGCTGGTCCACTGGAAGGGCAGATCATCACATTTTGTCCACTGGAAGGGCACCCTAGAGGGCATTTTATCATGTTTCATCGACCATAGGGGCATTCTTTTCAAATATGGGGGCACAATGTTTGAGTGCTGTATTCAAACTCCAGGGTCAGCTAGGATAAACCAAGGCAGTGTCCTGTGTGTCACAGTCTTAGAAATATACTCACCAAATTAATTGGTTAATTAAGCAGAAGCTTTAATATTGTCCTAACTGAAGATAACATGTTCTTTATAAGATATTAATATTTTTATAAAAAAATTATTAGTATGTTCAATTATGCTATACTGCTACAGTGTCAGAATATATGACACTATATTTTAAAACTACTTTTTGAATAGAGGTCAGTAACAATTTGTTATAATAATAATCATAATAATAATTTACACATCAATGACACAGCATCGGAAGCCAATTCAGTTCAGTATCTCGCTCTTCGATGAGCAGAGGGAAGAGCCAGGCCTCGACCAGCCAACCTTCTGATTAGTAGACGGTCAACTCTACCTCCTATGCCAATAAACTCCAGTCCTAAAACTGTCCCTAAAACTCAAGAAATTTCTATTTAATATGGAGATATATAAGCACACTCTTGAAACTTGTTGTATAATTGTGACAGTTGCAGCTGCATTTATTTTAGTAAAGATCATATATGAGGTAACGCAATGCAGACTTTTCAAATCAATGTAAATCATAAAAAATACTGTACAACGTTTCTTCAATAATATTCAGCTAAAAATTACTGTAATTGTAATCGAGGTTAAATGACCAGTGTGTAGGCATATAATGGTGAAGTTGGGGGTTGCCACCATTTGAATACAGTTCAGTCTTCCAAATGTGTAGGAGATGCCCACAAAAGTCGCACAAAGCTCTGTCTACAGCCAGTGTTTGGTTGGTCCGTTATGGTCTATTGTAGAAACATGGTGGTCAGACAATATATCCTCCTAAATGTTACACACTGGAGCTTTTAATGTGTTAACAATGTTTAAAATAATCATACATCTATTGTGAAGATTCATGCAGGGGTCTTTATTGTAGTTCATCTTTTTGTTCTTCACTAAATCAGAGGAATGTTACCAGACAATAGATCCTCCTAAATGTTACACACTGGACCTTAAAGATCAGAAAACAAACTGGTATGCTCCTTTCAGCAATTCATTTATGTTTGACTTAAGCTGTGGTGGCTGCTTCTTTAGACATGCAATCCTTCAAACACTGCCAAGTGAGCCCAGTTTTGTTGGGGGTACAGGTGTAGACCCGGAGGGAAACAAGATACATAATGTTCATTTAAGTCTTCTGTTTTGTGCTCGCTGATAAAAACAGTAACATATGCATCCTGGAATTTTGATGGCTGTCAGCAGTTTTCTATTTCAAACTGAAGCTGAGTGCAATCAGCCTGTGCTATCCTGCTCATTGTTCCCCTTCATCAAAATACAACAAGCTTTTACCTAAATAATGATTTGATTTCACTCATGTAAGATGAGACACGTGTGACTGATTATTCTATCATGAGACTACACAAGAACAGATCAGTCAGGGTCAATGCTCTGTGGCCAAAGAGTCTTCTAAGAACCAGAGCGGTGCTTTAGGAATCAATGGAATTTATGGCAGCAAATTGTATTAACGTCAGTGGATTTCTTTGAACTGTGGAAAATTTCAGCATTGTTCAACCCTATCCTTACTCAATTACTGGCTCCATGAGATGCATTACAAATGCACAAACAACTTTTTTCAATAGTGTATAATCACCTGAATATAAAATCATTATGTTTTTGTGATTTTAGAATGAGCTGTTTTTATCTATAGATGCCGTGGAGGCTGCCATGTTGATCTGCCATGTTTCTACAGTAGCCTAGAAAAAAACAAAATCAAACTCTGGCTCTGGCTCTGCGTTTTTTGGCCTGTTTCATAGCCACTGGAGTTGCAATCTGTAACTGCACCTCTAGATTCAAAGAAATCCTACACACTGGTCCTTTAAGACATGTTTGTCCTGCCAACAAGAATACTGTAAACCTTCTTAAAACCGCTCCCTAACATCTCCCTAACCCTCTTTTTGTTTGTTGTCCCAACCCAGCTGTATGCCTGTCTCTTTCTTTCCCTCTTTTCTCCTCCTTGTTCTCTCTATTCACCCAGAATTCTCTGTGCTGGACCACTGGCCACATTCCAGATGTTTGGATTTGGATGTTTGTTCTCCAGGAGATTCAGCCTTGTTCTCGTCTCTCTCTCTCTCTCTCTCTCTCTCTCTCTCTCTCTCTCTCTCTCTCTCTCTCTCTCTCTCTCTCTCTCTTATTTTTTGAAGGTCCAGTGCATAGTATTTGTGTGGCATCTAGTGGTGTAACTGCAGATTGCAACTCAGTCGTTTCACCATCCCCTTCTAAGCGTGAGGGACAACTACAGTGACCACACAACACATGAAAAACGTGAAGAGCCCTATCTATAGCCAGTGTTTGGTTTGTCCCTTCTGGGTGATTTTACACTAATGAAAATAACCTATGAATATTATATTCCATTTCTGACAATAGATCCTCCTAAATGTTACACACTGGACCTTGTACAGGTTGTAACATTATGTTATGCAATCCAATCTCTCAGTTTCAGCTTCCTTTAGGACTGCACGGGGACTCTGACCTTCTGTCCTCACTGTAGCTTGTTTTAAAGAAATTACATTTTCCTTTAGTTTAGAATAAGAGGACTCACATTTCTGTCTCTCACAAGCATAGTAATATAATTGTGTGTGTGTTTGAGGCCTGTTGTTCTCTGAGCCAATGATTACACAACAGACTGTAAGCTCCATCAGAGCGGTGAGGTGGAGACTGACTCTGGCTCATCTGCTGAGCAGAGCTGGAGGGGTCAGAGTGCTCTCTGTGGAAAGATCTGGAAGAAGAGGGGGGGCGGACAGTTAACTGTTATAGCTACTACATTCAAGGCTTTCTAACACTGGGAAACTCGAGAGGTCTTCTGACTTTTTCATACACACAGTGACACAACCCAGTTTAACCAATGCAACTAATCCAAAAAGCAAGTCAGGGGCTGCGAGCCGAGCTGCTGCTAACATTAGCTCAGCTTGCTTCTCTGATAACTTAAGATCCAGATGTCTGGTGATCAAAAAACTGTTTTAATATAGAGTTAAAAACTACCAAGATAGACAGTGGAGGGTAAAAATGTGTCTTCAAACTGGATAAAAAGTCAATGTATGACAGCTTCTGTCAGACAACCACAACACTGACACAGGCACAAGTATTGACAGGCGACCGGTTATCTGAAAATTACAGAGTTTAAACATTGTTGGAAACATTTGGGATAACAGTACACAACTCAACTACATATAGAACATATAACTCTAGTGTTTATAGATGTAATGGAGAAATGTTACACATTATGGCCATAATAATATCTCCATATCTGTAGTGTAACTTTGTACTGCTGTCGATGGAGTCGACAGCAGGTGTCGAAGGTGTGTTTTTTGTACCAGGCTGTAAACATTATTAAACACATTATTTCTGCTGTAAAGATGGGCATTTTAACCAAATGCCCTTAACAGGTATCGCTGTCTCTCTAAGTTCAGGAATTTTAACAAATGTAAACTCAGATATATATGTAGACAGTTTTTCTGTGTTAGACCCGATCCCAACTAGGCTGCTTAAAGAAGTTGTTCCCTTAATTGGCACTTCTTTACTGGATATGATTAATCTTTCTTTATTATCAGGATATGTACCACAGTCCTTTAAAGTAGCTGTAATTAAACCCCTTCTTAAAAAGCCCACTCTTGACCCAGGGGTTTTAGCCAACTATAGACCGATTTCTAACCTCCCCTTCCTCTCTAAGATTCTGGAGAAAGTAGTCGCCAAACAGTTGTGTGACTTTCTACATAACAATAGTTTATTTGAGGATTTTCAGTCAGGATTTAGAGTTCATCACAGCACAGAGACAGCTCTGGTTAAAGTTAATAATGACCTTCTGATTGCTTCTGACAATGGACTTGTCTCTGTACTTGTATTATTAGATCTTAGTGCTGCATTTGACACCATTGACCATGATATTCTTTTACAGAGACTTGAGCATCAAATTGGCATTAAAGGAACCTAAGGAAGGGCTACTTGTGGTTCCTATAGTCTCTAAAAGTAGAACAGGAGCCAGAGCCTTCAGTTACTAAGCTCCTCCCTGAACCATCCCTTAGCTGCTATAGGCCTAGACTATCGGGGGATTTCCCATGATGCACTGAGCTCCTCTCTTCCTCTCTCTCTCTTTCTGCAATCATTCATGTCCCATTAATGCATGTTACTAACTTCACTTTCCCAGAAGTTCTTGTGCTTTGCTCTCGCTCTTGTTCTTGTCGTCATCATTGTCTTCATATTCACCATCATCATCACCATTAGTCACTACTATTAGTGTAGTTGTTGCTGGCCACATTCCAGATGTTTGGATTTGGATGTTCGTTCTCCAGGAGATTCAGCCTTGTCCTTGTCCTCGTCTCTCTGTCTCTCTCTCTCTGTCTGTCTGTCTCTCTCTCTCTGTCTGTCTGTCTGTCTCTCTCTCTCTCTCTCTCTCTCTCTCTCTCTCTCTCTCTCTCCCTCTTTCTCTCTCTCACCCCAACTGGTTGAGGTAGACGGCCATCCACCAATGTGGGGGTTCTACTAGATTACAGAAGAGTCTCCAGCCACACTTGTGGCTCTGTAAGGCTGTAATGCTCTCTCTGTTTCTCTATCCTTTCTAGCTCTTTTTTTAAGGCATGTGCAAGGCACCTGTAACCTTGTGGCACTTCTGTCAGGTTGAACTGCTCTCCCATGACTCCGGGCCCCAGCCGTACATGTAGCACAGGCCTGTAGCTCAGGATGATCAGCAGCCTGTCAGTTCAAATCATACATCTGCCTCTGCCCTCTCATGGTCTCATTCACCCATGTGTCTGCAGAAGACTGAATTACAGCCTGAGGGGGGAGGGACCGCTGAAACTCCCATGCTAATAAAGTCCAGGCCTTCCAGGCTGAGAGTGTTTCCACAGACTGCACTGCTCTTGTACTTACAGGACAGGCAGCATTCATCATGTGCCACTGGATTCTACAATCATCAAGGTCCAACTTAGCAAAGTCAAAATGAGTGGACGAGTTCAAACGGAATGGTAACATGGGAAAAGTTGGAATATGGGCACTGATTAGAGTGTCTCTTACTCTGCAGTGCTGAACAGTCAGCAAAAATCTCCAAACCTCAAACACACATCCCATTAATTTTGGTGAGAAGCCAGTGTGTGTTATTAACTGTTAAGGTTTGACACCACAGATATAGCAGCAGAGCGGTGCTGTATGCTGTAGTCCACTGGGCACTATTTATCTAAAGTATTTGCCACAAAAACTTTCTGACATGTTTCTGTCCCCTTTCAGCCTGTGTGGAATGGGAGGGTACCACTGGGTTGGTTTCTGCTTGCAACAAGTCAGGCCTGCAGGACGGGTTGTGTTTTTATGCCTTCTCTCTATGGGCCCTCTGTGGCTGGCGGCTACCATGCTTTTTTGGACTTTCTCTTTATAATTGAGTCTTGCATTTTCACCCTGGATTCTCCAGTGCTGCACAAAGCAGTGATTATTCCTGAGCAGCAGACGGGTTGGGGGGGGGTTGTTGAATGAATGCCATTACATTCTCATGAAGCCCATTGGCTGCTCTCTCTTTGTCTTCAACTTTCTGAAATCATTGGGTGCCTGACTGAAGCCAAAGAACAGACACAGGCTTGTTTGATCCGCTCATCACAATGAGAGACGACTAAAGTCGCAAGGTGCCACTGCTCACTACACTATCACTGAAATCTTCATTATTTATTTTGACAGCAAACATGATTAACAATACGAAAGAAACACAAGAAAAACACTCAAGTCCAGATTAAATTAAAAATGTCCCCTTTAAGATTACATCGCCAGTTATATTGTTCTCATTCATTTTAATAATTTTTCTTTCCTGTAAAACAAAATGAGTGTGATTACAGTAGCTTGAACCAACCAGTTTCAACCAATAATATCATGACATCCACCCATCAATCAATCAATCTTCAACTTTTAGCCACACAGAGCAAGTTGTATTAGTTTATTATTAGTTAATAACAGTATGTTTCAGACCACACTGATTACTGTACAAAACACAACTTTATCAGTGATTTTGTTGAGACTGGATCATATTTAGAGTCCCAGTCCAGCAGAGTCACAGGGATTGACGAGGGGACATGCGCTATTGTTCTACCAGTCTGTAGTGGCCAGTGTCCTCTTCTTTGCTGTGGTCTGTTGGGGGTAGGCATCGCCACTGAGCAAGCTAGTGAGGAAGGCCAGCTCGGTGGTGGGGATGGAACTGGACAGTATGGAGGCTGTGACTGAAAAGAGGATGAGAGGGAAGCTGAAAGCCAGCATGGACAACCCCTCTCATCCTCTCTACACTGAGCTCAGGCAGCTCAGGAGCACTTTCAGCTACAGACTGACCAAGCCCCGAGCCTCAAAGCAGTTTGGAGGCTTGTTTGTTCGATCTGCCATCAGATTCTGACTCTGGCTGATTGGTGTATATATTATGCAAGCAAAATAGCCTGCAAATAGCAATGCTTTCCGTTTCATGTGGATTTTAAGAGTCAGCTTAAACAAGTTGGAGGGTAGGTTTGTCATCAGGATCATCAGGTGGGCATAGTACTTCTTTGATGTTTCATTGAAAAGCACACAACGTGCTCAGAGGGCTCAATGGTGATACCTGGAGTCCCACACCCCTCAGTTCCACACCCTCCTATCTTATCTTACAACCCAGTTGCTGTCTTTCCTTTTCATCCAAGGCCAATTGCTACTTTTTCTGCTTTATTTGACAAGGACTTGATTGCTTGATGGAGGGACCCATTCATTATTTATTCTCCAACAAACTGGTGGACTGGATGATCCCCTGAATCTGACTTCTACACGGGAAACTCTTCTTGCTGTATTGGGCAGCTTCAGACTTCTAGACTTTAAAAAAATATCATCGGAATTAATCAAATTCTGATTCTGACAGAACGAGTCATTTGCTGGGAGTTGTAAATGCATCCAGCATTACACAGCCACTTCTTTCACAATGTTAAAAAGTATTTTTGGGCCAGTGTGCATCACATGATGGACGCCATTGCTGTAATCCACAGTTGGCCACTATGTCAAATTGGCTTCAAAGTCTGGTGCTCTTCTTGGGAGCTTGGGTCTTATTTTGAGGTAATTGTACACTAATAGAACACATCTATATATGAATATCATATTCAATTTTTGACAACAGATCCTCCGAAATATAAAACACTGGACCTTTAGACACTTCTGATTGAGATCATTAATGTCCCTCCTATGCCTGTGTCTCCTAGCGTTGCATCTGCAGCAGACAACCACTTTAATCTGGCATGCATTGTCTTTCACTCTAGGGAAGAGATTATTGTGCAAGTTTGTAGACATCTGTAAAAGGTGCTGCACTGTACCACTATTCAATTCAATTCAATTCAATTCAATTCAATTCAATTCAGTTGTATTTGTATAGCGCCAATTCATAACAGAAGTTATCTCAGGACACTTTTCAAATAGAGCAGGTCTAGACCGAACTCTTTATAACATTATTTACAGAGACCCAACAGTACCACCATGAGCAAGCACTTGGCGACGGGGGCAAGGAAAAACTGCCTTTTAAGAGGCAGAAACCTAGGACAGGCCCTTCGGCTCTAGGTGGGTGGTCGTCTGTCTCGACCAGTTGGGGTGAGAGAGAGAGAGAGAGAGAGAGAGAGAGAGAGAGAGAGACAGAGAGAGACAGACAGACAGGTGCACAGCAACAACAGTAGCAACAACTACACTAATAGTAGTGACTGATGATGATGAACATGACAAAAGCAACGATGGGGGACAATGAGCAGTGACAACAGCAACAACAGTAACCGTAGCAATAATAATACTTATAATAACGAAAAATGGTAACGAAAAAAACATATGCACTTGTTATGACAATTAATTTGCATTTGCGGTAGATTATATATAACTCAAGTGTATTTCAAGGGTTTTCAATATGTTGGTAATTTTAAACAGTATTTCCATTGTGAGCCACCACGTTGACAGCATGTTGATACAATAACAGCATCTTGGAAAATTCTGTTTGTCTGCTTGGCCATTCCACTGGAGTTTTCCTCATGGAAAGTTTGAACGTCTGACTTTTCGACATGTCTGGAATGCAGCATGTGTCAAAACGATCTTCTGTTCAGTCTTTTGATTCCACCATAATGAACAGCTTCCTTTAGATCATCTTTCCATCTCAGTAACTCTTCAAGCGTGTGAATAGCTTGCATCCCGCTGCAGTGTTTGTTTTGCCTCACCTGTCACTCAGTGAGCTTTTGTTCATTTCCAGAAAATCCTCAGAGTTGCAAACAGCTTCATTCCAAAGGTTTCTCTTCAGCCTCCTCTGAGGGACAATTTTAAACATGACATTCAGTGACATAGAATGACTTTAAAGCTGCTCAGATATCAGTGATATGCAGTTTGTCATCAACACATTATCAGACCTGTTTGGGATCAGCAGCCGTTTTCCCCTCATGACCAGTTAGAACATTTTAACTGTAATATCGTTCGACAAGGTCAGATTTATTTTGTGCAAGATTACTGAGATATTGTTGTATTTAAGACTGTTTAAGACACATTCAAGTGTTGGGACTGTTTTAACTTATCACATTTTCTGTATATATATATATATATATATATATATATATATATATATATACATACACACACATCCTTTTTTGGCATAAAAACAACCTGAATAAAACCAATTAAAATACCTTTGAATAATTTGACACAAATTTCACAGCGGTACTAGAATTAAGGTCTTTAAAGGTGGTAGTGGAGGCAAGGACATAAAAATCTGAATGATTAATAGCCCTGGTAGCTCACCTGGTAGAGCTGGAGCCCCATGTACCAAGGCTGAGTCCTTACTGCAGCAGCCTGGGTTAGATTCCAACCTGTGGCCCTTTCCTGCATGTCATCCTCTCTCTCTGACCAGATATCCTGTCCACCTTCAGTTATCTCTGCCAATTAAAGATGAAAAAGCCCCTTCCAAAAACAGGTTTTATTATTATTATTATTATTATTATTATTATTATTATTATTATTAGTTACGGGGTCATGGTTTCTGGAAAGAGACATTGCTGCAGCCAGTAGCAGCTGTAGCCAGGCTGACAGAGAGTCACAGCTCTATCGAGCCACATATCCCCATAAACTTAAGTAGCAATGACTTCATGAGCTTCTTCTATAATAAAATTATTACTATTAGAGAAAAATTAATCACCAACTGCCATCAACAGTTATCAGTGGCTCTCCAAGTTCAGGGACTTCTGTCAATGTAAACTTAGATGTATATTTAGACTGTTTTTATGCTATCGATCTTCATCAGTTAACTTCAATCATTTCTTCATCGAAGCCATCAACCTGTCTATTAGACCCGATCCCAACTAGGCTGCTTAAAGAAGTTGTTCCCTTAATTGGCACTTCTTTACTGGATATGATTAATCTTTCTTTATTATCAGGATATGTACCACAGTCCTTTAAAGTAGCTGTAATTAAACCCCTTCTTAAAAGTCTACTCTTGACCCAGGGGTTTTAGCCAACTATAGACCGATTTCTAACCTCCCGTTCCTCTCTAAGATTCTGGAGAAAGTAGTCGCCAAGAGTTGTGTGACTTTCTACATAACAATAGTTTATTTGAGGATTTTCAGTCAGGATTTAGAGTTCATCATAGCACAGAGACAGCTCTGGTTAAAGTTAATAATGACCTTCTGACTGCTTCTGACAATGGACTTGTCTCTGTACTTGTATTATTAGATCTTAGTGCCGCATTTGACACCATTGACCATGATATTCTTTTACAGAGACTTGAGCATCAATTGGCATTAAAGGAACTGCCCTAACCTGGTTTAAGTCATACTTATCAGATCGTACTCAGTTTGTACATGTTAACGATGAATCCTCCATAAATACTAAAGTTAGTCATGGAGTTCCACAAGGTTCTGTACTTGGACCAATACTATTTACTTTATATATGCTCCCTTTAGGCAACATTATTAGGAATCACTCCATTAACTTTCACTGTTATGCAGATGATACGCAGTTATATCTATCAATCAAACCCAATGAAATTAATCAATTATCTAAATTACAAACATGTCTTAAGGACATAAAATCCTGGATGACCTGCAATTTTCTGATGTTAAACTCAGAAAAACCGAAATTCTTGTTCTTGGCCCCAAAACCTTAGAGACTCATTGTCTAAAGATATAGTCACTCTAGATGGCATTAACTTGGCCTCTAGCACCACTGTCGGAATCTTGGAGTTCTCTTTGATCAGGATTTGTCATTTAACTCCCACATAAAGCAGACCTCTAGGACTGCCTTCTTTCATTACGTAATATTAGAAAATTAGACACATACTATCACAGACAGATGCAGAAAACTAATCCATGCATTTGTTACTTCAAGGCTGGATTACTGCAACTCTTTATTATCAGGTTGCCCCAATAAGTCCATTAAAACGCTCCAATTAATTCGAACGCTGCAGCACGAGTACTGACAGGAACTAGAAAAGAGATCACATCTCTCCTGTACTAGCTACTCTGCATTGGCTCCCTATAAAATGTAGAATTGAATTTAAAATACTCCTCCTCACCTATAAAGCTCTTCTGGTCAGGCCCCTTCATATCTTAAAGAGCTCATAGTACCCTATTACCCCACTAGAACACTACGTTCTCTGAATGCTGGGCTACTTGTGGTTCCTATAGTCTCTAAAAGTAGAACAGGAGCCAGAGCCTTCAGTTACCAAGCTCCTCTCCTGTGGAACCGGCTTCCAGTTGTGGTTCGGGAGGCAGACACCCTCACCACTTTCAGAGTAGGCTTAAGACATTCCTCTTTGATAAAGCTTATAGTTAGGGCTGGATCAGGTGAGTCCTGAACCATCCCTTAGTTATGCTGCTATAGGCCTAGACTATCGGGGATTTCCCATGGTGCACTGAGCTACTCTCTTCCTCTCTCTTTCTGCACTCATTCATGTCCCTTTAATGCATGTTACTAACTCCACTTCTTCCCCGGAGTTCTTGTGCTTTCTCGTCTCGCAGGTTCTCATGGATCCTGGTGGAGCCTCCTGCCATGGTCCTGCTTGACTGCCATTGCCAATACTGTTGTTGCTGTGCACCTGTCTGTCTGTCTGTTCTCTCTCTCTCTCTCTCTCTCTCTCTCTCTCTCTCTCTCTCTCTCTCTCTCTCTCTCTCTCTCACCCCAACTGGTCGAGACAGACGACCACCCACCTAGAGCCGGAGGATCTGTCCTAGGTTTCTGCCTTTTAACAGGCGTTTTTCCTTGCCCTTGTCGCCAGTGCTTGCTCATGGTGGTACTGTTGGGTCTCTGTAATTAATGTTAAAGAGTTCGGTCTAGACCTGCTCTATTTGAAAAGTGTCCTGAGATAACTTCTGTTATGAATTGGGCTATACAAATAAAATTGAATTGAATTGAATTGAATTGCAAAGTTTTTCAAATGTATTTTTGGCTGCTTTGAGCTCAGCCAGCAGAGTGCCATCTGGTTCCATTATACTGAAGAGAAAGCAGAGATCGAATGCCTAATACCTCTAAACTCACACCAAGAAAATATGCATTGATTTTGGGGTGAACTGTCCATTTAAACTTGAGTTAGCAATTATATATCCATCTATCTTTGTTAAAAATAAGTCAGGTCATACATTTGACACCCTTGTCAATCCTTCCACATAAATTACTTCAGATGTTCTTTTAACACATTAAAGCTGTAGCAATGAATGTAGCACTTTCTCTTTTTGGCTGCATGTGGTATGTTTGTAACAATATTGGGCAGACAGACTTCCAGAAAAGTAAGGATTTAAGGCTTTATTTATAACATATAATTTTCTTTCCGAACCATACAACAGTGGACTGTTTTACAATGAGAGTCATTGCAATAAATACAGTTTGGGAATACAGGGGAACAATATGAAAATATACGTCACGTGACAGAACGAAGAAGCCTAGCTGTAAAATAGAGTCAGCTTGGGTTTGGTCACCTGCACTATCTGAACAGCTGTCATCATTATAAAGAAAACATTCTAGTGATTAAATGTAGTAAAAAACATTAAGAAATACCAGTATCACAAAGTGTGACTGGGTGTATGAATACAAACTGAACACTGCGGGGAGACTGTGGAAGACTACTGTACGCATTTCTTTCTCATGTATCATCTGCACTGTGTCGAGGAACACAAACATACTGACAGACACCTAATGAGTTATCACTACTTCAGTGTTCCATTATTAAGACGTCTTTTAAAAAGTGGGTATTAAAAAGAATGTTTTTAAGCTTAAAAAAACATTTCATCACTGTATCTCATTATTCTATGCTACTACAACTTCTTACAACCTTTGTTGCTCGGATCAAGGAGTCTAGGTGAAGAAGGAAAGCACTCAAGGCAACGTTTCATTTTATGTTTCAAGAGAAGAAGAAGACTAGTCAGGATAGCAAAAGGCTCTGTTGTGTAGTTGATAAAATACACTCGTTAATACTGCTCTGGAGGTGGACGTCTCCACTAATAGTCAATGCCCTGATCATTGTAATGGGTGCTGTAGTCGTCATGGTAACCTCCGTGGTACTCGTCCTCCTGGAACTCAGCCTGATAGTCACTGTCGCTGATCTCCGAGCCGTTGGTGCCAGTGCCCTGGCTTCCGTTAGTGTGGATGACGGGCTCTGTCGGCGGGGCACAGTATTTGGGGTCGTACACCTGTCGGCCCAGACCATACACACTCATGCCCCTCTGAGACGCCACCTTGTTGGTGCCCATCTGGAGGGAGATGGTGGAGTTGTCCAGCGGCTGCTGTGCAACCTTCTGGTCGAAGATGTCCCTGCGGGTACCGGGAGCTGACATGCCCGCCTGCAGGAAGCCACAACGTAGCAGAAACTTCACAACATGATAAAGGTGGTACATATATTGAATGCTCTGTTCTGATTGGACAGATTCGTGTGCATAATTGCATTTTTATAAAGTTCACACGATGGATTAGGGCTGTGTATTGGGAAGAATCTGGCAATACGATACGTGATGTGATACAGAAGTTAAGATTCAATATATTGCGATACTGTAAGTAACGCGATATATTGCAAGTTTTTAAATCAAATTTTAGGAAAACTAAAGACTGTAGTAAAGAACCCACAATATATATGAATAAAATTAATTGATTTCTGAACTTACCAGACTGTTCTACTATATGCCTTTATCCATTCAGTCATTATGTCCACATTACCGATGATTAATCATCAAAAATCTCATTGTGTAAATATTTTGTGTAAGCACCAATTGTCATTCATAAAATATTGTTGAAATATTAATATTAGGGTAATTGGTAAAAAATAGTGTGATATTTTATTTTGTCAATATTGCCCAACTCTATGTAGGTAAGAAATGTTCCAGGATATGGCTTTATCATTTCAACATGGTAACTAAAGAGTGTGAACATGAACTGTGTCGCTAAGCTATATCAGGCTTCGGACAGAAAGAAAATATTTGTTAGTCATATTAAGTTTTAAATAGCTGGTTTTGGTCTCTTCTAGGGGATTTGTTGAAAATAAAAAGGTCCAATAAGAGCAGCACTAAAAGAGGAGAGGGTTTTAACCTGGCTGGCTCCTTTGTTGGTTCCCATCTGCAGGCTGATGGTGGTCTGGTCATAGGGTTTGTCAGTCTGAGTCTTTGGATCATATAGATGTCTTCTGGTTCCATATGCAGTCATTCCAGCCTGACTCGCACACTTATTTGTCCCCATCTGTGGACAAAAGCCTAGCTATAGCATCTCAGTACATCCAATCACATCAGTCTATCTTGTTTAAAAGAACCATCCACGTTTTAAAAAGGTCCAGTTTGTAGGGTTTAATAGCATCTAGCAGTGAGGTTGAGTGAGAGTGTAAACTGAATACCCCTCACCTCACCCTCCACTACCAAGCATGTAAGAGAACCTACGGTGACTGTGACTAGTGTTGGGAATTGTTTGGATTTTTTTTTTTTCAAACCAGTGCTTAGGTGATACTTTTAAAATGGTACTGGTGCCTAAACAGTGCCTGAACACATACTTTAAAAACACATTATGATTGATAATAGTGATGGCACACATGCAGTAATGCCTCTGTACCAAAGGGTAACTGCTTCAGTAGAAAGCTTCAACAGCGCTGTAATTCGGTCTGGTTGATACCGGTTGTACTGGAACTGGCGCCATATTCAAATTGTGTTTCTGTACCCAACCCTAGCAGCAACAGTAAGAAGCACTTAATCATTGGTCATAAGGGCTGCTGTGGCTCAACAGGTAGAGCAGGTTGTCCGCTAATCAGAAAGTTTGGCAATTCGATCCCTGGCTCATCCGGCTGCATGGCCAAGTGTCCTTGGGCAAGGTACTGAACCCCAAGTTGCTCCTAATGCTGTGTCATCAGTGTGTGAATGTGTGTGTGTGAAAGGGTGAATGTGGCACGTAGTGTAAAAGCACTTTGAGTGGTCGGAAGACTAGAAAGGAGCTATACAAGTACAGGTCCATTTACCATTTACCATCATAGTTACCTGCAGTCCAATGACACACTGACCAGCTTTGATCTTCTCATCGTCAAAATGTCGAGCTTGTTTGTTTGCGTACTTCACCCCAATATCAATCTTTGTGTCCATACCTTTGGTCTTTGCCTAATAGAGAGGACATACTGGTCAAAGAACTGATGTGACATTTGATGTATTTCCTATAACAACAGAAAATGTGTTCCTCGGCAGACAATGAGCCTCTGTACTGTGTGTTCACTCACCATGCTGGCCAGTGCGAGCAGTGTGGTCTGGACTTGAGTCATGTTCCCATTTTCAAACAGGTCATTAGCCTCAAAGATGTCATTGGGCTTTAGGCCATAGGCCAGGATAGCTTTGATGAAATTCCCAAGGTTTTCCAGCTGTAGAGCAACAGAGAAAAAAAGGGGGAAAAAATGAGTTATGGGGGTTGGGGCGGGGACTCAAACAGAAGCAAGAGGAAGCAATAAGAGCACAAATAATACTGTTAATAAAAAGCTTCATGAATGAGCTGACATGCTGGTACAAGTCTGAATGTGCTTTTCATCTTGCTGACTTCTGAGCAGCTTTCTCTAAATGTCTTTTTGTTATGAGCAAACAATGTGAGACCCCTGCTGAGAACAGGTCTTACCTTGTGCCAGTTCAGTTGTGAAAGGTTGATTTTCTTTACTGAACCAGGGTGCAGCTTATTAATCAGTCTGAGAGAGCAAGGAAACAAGACGTATTAACAACAACTACAGAGGATATGTTTTAGTTATTTAAGTTCTGCCATCACAGTAGACTGGTTGCCAAATTTTGCCATGTTAACATCTGATCATTATAGCATTGACTACAGAGTTCAACACACACACACACACACACACACACACACACACACACACACACACACACACACACACACACACACACACACACACACACACACACACACACACACACACACACACACACACACACACACACACACACACACACACACACGACTTACTCGCAGAGGATGACTCCATCCTTCAGGCCTTTCTGGAAGTTCTCTCCAATAGACATTCCCGTTACCTCCTCAATCCAGAAGCGGAGCTCCTCCTCCCTTTGTGTATCATATTTCTGAGCAATCTGAAAGATAAAACATCATGGTAAGTCTGGATTCCAAATAATCTATGAATATTAAAAATAGTAGGACCCTTTGCCAGTCAGTAGGTCCATGATAAGAGGCATGTGAATTTTAGGTTCTTTAAGCCCCAGAAATCCTTCAATGTAGTAGAATTATGTATTTTTATACTCCTGTTCTGTCTTTCATTAAGTGATGACAAGTGATGAGGAGTAAGACTAGGTCTGAATTATTGTATTTTGTTTTTATTAGCCAGTCCAGTAGTAGAAACGTATCTTATTTATTAATAGATGATAGAAAGTCCAGAAAAGTACAACAGAGGAAACACTTGATAAAGTGATGGATGACAGAAATAAAAGCTTGCTTTCACAGCCACCCAGGTATTGCTTGTAAGCAATGTTTCCTCCAAGCAGTCTAGTCCAGTTATTTTCACATTAGAATGGCTATTGCATTGCCATTGGCCAAACCTGACTCCTTTTTGCCCCTTTTCTTCGTTACTCTTGTGCTAAGGTTCCAAGCAACCATTGGTTAGACAATTGAGTTAAAATGCTGAAAATGGGAGTAACTAGAGTTGTCTGGATGTCTGTGCTCTGACATAGAATACCTCCTATTAGGTACTCTTACTGCAATGTTCTCTGCAAGTCTAGACTTTCCTTTATGTAAGTGCTGGGTATGCAGGGGTATTGCAGTTTGGAATGCATGTTGGCAATTGGCGCTATACAAATAAAAAATTGAATGTGCACCCAAGCCTGTGGTGAACTTTAAGAACAGTGTGATAAGACTCATAGGAATCTATTTATAGTGCAAAGTGGGGGTGCAAGTTTATGGCAGGAACATTTTAATTTAATGAACACTTGAACACCTTCAATGATGAGCAATAATAACTCTAAAAACACACGATAAAGTGTGTAATATGTCAACAGTCTTCTGGTCAAATTCTGCATCAATATAATCCATAAAGATAAACAGGGAGACAGGGAGGAGCCGGGGGATCAAACCTCCAACCTTCTGATTAGTGGATGACCCGCTCTGCCTCTGAGCCACAACTGCTGGAAACGTTCAGAACTGGTTGCTGGTTGGGGGATCAGATATGCGCTGAATTAAACACACTCATAACACTGTTAATTCACCGTCTATCAGGTGTGTGTTTGTGGGTGTTCCTGACTAAACCCTTATTTGTGTAACCATTATATAAGGGGAACCACTAAGGCAGGTGCCATACATTTGAACTCAATTTGAGATTATATATAGTATATATAATCAAAACACAAACACGCCAAAACCTGACTGGTTCACAAAAAGCACATTATGAAGATCACAATAATGAAAAAGGAAAAAAGGAAAAAGCAAGCCGGTGTTACTTACAGGCTGTCCTGGACACTGTGACTGAGATAAATGGACACAAACATGGCTTCAGATAAACATCTGAGCTCATCAGCTGCCTAGCTAATTTCTCTGCTGTGATAAGAATAACTAATTTGCTATGTGTTGTGGGTTATTAAATCTCTTTTCAAACTGATAAAAGAAACAGCTTCAAACTGCTCAGCTTTGTTCTCCCTTGCTCAGTGCCTTCTGGAAGAGCTTGAGTTACAATGATATGTTATGAGTGAAGCAATCACAGAAGAATATAATTAATTCTAGGGGTTACTAAATTGATATGCCTCTCCCCTGTCGTAACTAAACCACTAACTGAGGTTATGATTTGTTGTTTCTTTGCCTGTTGAAGAAAGACATCAGAGAGACTGGCTTTATAGGCTCCGAATAAGGAAGTCTTTGTTACTGTGTAACTCAACCGTGCTATCCAACTATATTGATATTTCCCTACACCCCTAAACAGCACTCTAAAAGGATGGAGGACAACATTTTATTTGTTGTGTAATTATTGTTAGTTGTGGCAGAGTGAACTTTTTTGGCTTCTGAAGGAGAGCATGAATGAAAAATCATGAATCATTTTCCATTTCTATTACACACGCCTTCCAGTGTGGCACAGGGACAAATACTGACTTTTTACGAGACTCGAGGACAAACTATTGTAGTTTGTTTTAAGCACACTGAATCATATCCTCAGTTACCCAAGACTCTTATGGTCAACATTGTACTACATAGATAACAGAAGTTGGATATAGAGTTGTATGCTCACCAGAATCAATAGGTTGTGGGAAGAAGGATAAAGAATACGCTCCTCATTGATTACAATGTCAAAATGCTGGCAAGTAACCAGTCTGTTCCACACTGTTTCATCATGTGATGGAGGAATTGGAATTCTTACTAACTGAAAAGCTACAACAAAGAGGAAAAAGAGTTTCTCTGACACTTTAATCAATGTAAAACAATCCAGTACAGTAATCCTCCTCACATTAGCTCTCCAGAAAGAGTAAAGTGCTTTTTAGTGCTGGCTGACGCTGCATAAACATCCCACAGACACTTTGCTCATCCACTGCAGGACAAAGTGTCCACTTCAGTGTACAGTCAGAGAGGAACTGCCGAGAGAAAACATCTGTTGTACATCTCAGGTCAATCCTCAGAAAGAGAACTCTAAATATCAGTGTTGTTTTCTCTTTACACTCTCCTCTGGGGGTGTAAGTAGAATTCTATGTCTAACATTTGTTTCTTACAGTAGTTGGATGAGACCTCAAAAAATGACTTTAGTAGGGTTTTTTTTGTTAAATTATGATGCTAAAATTATTATTCCCACTAATCGCTTTGCAATTGCAATATTGGTCTCCCCTTCTGTCCCTGAGTTATGGACAAAAAAGTCAGTTTGATGTCACTGTGAAGTTGACCTTTGACCTTTTGGAGAAAAAATGTCATCACTTCTTTTTTGTATAACATAAAACATCTGTGTGACATTTTATCTTCATCAATTCTTGAGTTATTACCAAAAACATGTTGTTAGGGTCATGAGGTCACAGTGACCTTTGAACACCAAAACCTCATCAGTTCATCGTTCAGTCCAAGTTTGATGAAATTTTCTCGATTCCTCGTGTTCACCAGAATGGGGCGGACGGCCAGATGGTTAAATGATCAAAGTGAAGTGTGTAGGAGAAACAACGATGGCCGCAAAACCCGCGAATAATGCGAAAAGCCCCATCTACAGCCAGTATTTGTCCCTTCTGGACTACTGTAGAAACATGGAAGTTCAACATGGTGGCCTCCACAGAGGACGGCACACTCCCTCTGTAGATAAAAACTGCTCATTCAAAGCTAACAAAAACACATTCCAATTCCTATATTCAGGTGATTATACACTAATGAAAACATGAATATTATATTCCATTTCTGCCAATAGATTCTGTTACACACTGGACCTTTAAACAGATATTTAGGAGTAATAAATGTTATACAATATCCAAACTATATGACACATTTATTTTCAAGCCTCAGGGGCAAAACATTTTACACTTCTGTCACAGAAGGGTTGTTTCATTTCAGCTGTAGTTCATCACTTGTCCACTGCAGCCTGTCAGCAGTCACATCAGACACTTTGTTCCACTTCCTTAAGTGTACAGTCAAAAACTGGGCTTGTTGTTGCGTAATTTACAGACAGTGTGGAATTTTCATATGCCCTCTCCTACTCCCAGTTCTTGTAAAAAGCCAAAAAAGGGTGTGCTGTGTTCCAATCTGTGAGTCAGTTAAAGGTTAGATCTTCTCTGTCATTCAGGAATGAATGTGAGACGTTTTGTGTCTGCGGACAGCACAGGGCGACCCCACTGAGAGGCCAAAGAGCTGGAATGGTCAGAGGAAAGGGATTTTTCTCTCTTCACTTCTTCCAGCAGTTATTTTCAAGGGTGCCTGCCAATAAGTCTCATAAAGAAAAAAATCTGGCATTGGAAAAAGGGATCTAATTATCTTGATGGAACCATTAAACTGAGCTTGTGAGGGAAAAATCTGGAAGGTTACGATTTGAGCCTGTGAAAAGCAGACAAACCCCCTCCCCATTTCAGCTCTGTACCCAAAAGCATTTCCTGATGACAGCACAAAACTGCACACTTTTGGAAAATAGGTTCAGAGAATCCAGTGCTACTGTCCAACACTCTCATAAGAATGCACATGTATTCTGAACTGCATATGTAGTCTGAACTGGTTTCAGACAGGAATTCAGCTGCACATGGTCCAACCAGTGGGACAGTAAAACGGAAACACAGTAGTTCATCAGCATAGAGCCAACTGGCCAAGGCTGAGCAAAGAGAGAGGCTTCTGGTCATTAATATATAACCATCTCTGAGCTTCAGAAACATGCAACATACCACACACTGGTTAGAAGAGCCATTTCATGGACTGGGAGTACAAGCAGAAAAGCTTCAGGAGTAAGGAAGAGTAGATTTAGAGCTGCAAGTAATCATTATTTTATTCATCTATCAATAAATTCTAAACATTTTTTGACTTGATTTTGATGGTATGTCATCACAATTTTTTCAATACACATCAAATGTCTTGTTTTAGCCACGGGCCACGATGCTGATTGCACCTGTTCTAGAAAAGCACCGTGGCGCAACCTAGAAGTGTCTCTCCGCTATGCTCTGTCGAAAGTAGGGCTGGGCGATAATGCGATCTCGATTCGGGATCGTGATAAAATTTTGATCAATTTCGATAATAAGCTTGGGACATATTATTCGATATCACATGAAAAAGTAAGCGCAACAACAACAGTATCAGAGTCTGCCGGCTGCCGTATGCCGGTAGGAAACGCCCACTTCCCATTGTGAGCAGCGTGGCTACAGTTACGGGGAAAGAAGTTGGAAAAAGGAGAAAAAATGAGCGAAACTGAAGTCGAGGACAGGAAAAATAATGCAGAACGTGAAAGCGACATCACTACATCACCCGAGACCGAAGACATTGTTGAAAAAAAAGGTAACACGACGCCAATTGTGTAAACGTGGTTTGGATACGGTAAAAGCGACCAGGAGCAGGTGAAGCCGGTCTGCAAAATATGCCAGCGGTTGGTACCAGCCAGGACGGGGAACACAACAAATCTTTTCCATCACCTGAGACGGCACCACCCCAG